CTATTGTGGAAACCTCTCAGAAACACACACACACACACACACACTGTTAGAGATGGTGTAAGAGCTGCTAGTTCTCCATTTAAACAAGCACCCCCTAATTCTTGGAGACCCCTGAGACCAGCTCTCCGTTCCTGCCGTCAATATGAAAAGGTGCGGAAAGCTGTTTTCGTTTGCTAATTCCAGTTTACCATCCCTACAAGGAGAGAAGCAGCCACCACCCGTTCAAGACCTTAGCCCACTGAGGGGGTGGGGCCCAGGAAAGTCAGCCTCCTCACCACTGCAGCCCCTAACCCTGCAGTCACAGTGGAGGGGTGGGTACAACTATCGTTCTTGTGCTAATTCCAGTTTATCCGGTTTCCCAACTGGGAGCAAAGGGAAGCAGCCTCTTCCTACTCGACTCCAGCCAACTTATGGGGTGGAGTCAGGGCACTTTTTGCCCTTTTAAATTAGCCTCAATACTGTAGCCCCCTATTCCTGCTTTCATAGTGAAAAAGTGGGTAAAACTACCTTTCTCGTGCTAATTTCGGTTTACCGTATTTGCCAACTAGGGGCAGAGGGTATTGGCATACTCACTCTCGTGATGACAGCCCAGTTAGGGGGTGAGTGGTCAGGGTTTTTTGCTGTCTTGTTTGTCTCCCTCAATTAAAGCATTTTCCTTACTCCTGCGGTCACAGGGAAGAAGATGGCGCGAACTCCCTTTTCTCAGCTGATTCCACTTTACCCCATTTCCCGATGAGGAACAAAGAGAAGTAGCCTCCTCCCAGTTAGGGAGTGGGGGCCTGGCATCCTCTGACCATTATAACGTCCCTCCTCACTCCTGCAGCCCCCTATTTTTGCAGTCAAATTGAAAATGTAGGTAAATCTCCCGTTCTCATGCTAATTCCACTTTATCCTGTTTCCCAGCCCCAGCACAGAAAATTAGCATACTCCCACTTAAGACCCCAGGCCAGTTAGGAGACTGGGTCAGGGTGCTTTTTCTTCCTTTGAACCCTCTTCCTACCCCTGCAGCCCCCCTCCCCCCATTCCTCCAGTCATGATGAAAAGGGTGGACTAAACTACCTTTCTTGTGCTAATTCCAGTTTATCCTATTCCCAAACCAGCTGCAGGAAGAAGCAGCCAGCCTTCTTCAGTTTCCTCTCTAGGAAACTGGGCAAACTGGAGTTAGCACAAGAAAATTCATTTCTCCCAACTGTTTCACTGTTGAGTCCCCCACCCCCAGGCAAGCCCCGCATTTTTGCGGTCACTGCCAGAAAAGGTGGGGAAAACTGTCCTTGTGCTTTCTCCTAGCTTCCTAAGAAGCAGCAGAGAGAAGCAGCCAACCCCATTCAAGATTCCAGTGCCAGCAGGTGGTGTGGTGACTGAGGCGCTGGACTCCCACGTGGCTGACCACAGTCTGAGTCCTGGACATGGCAGCTTGTTTTTCACTTTCTCTCTCTTTCACTCACATTCCCTATAGCAAATAAAAAAATAATAACAGAAACATTGGTAAGAACAGAGATTTTTATTTATTACACAATTAACAAATTAGATTTGATGTTGCTTAATATCTTTAACTCCTCTGGGCCTTCTTTGGGGGCATTTCCCAAATGCTTATCATATGCTTATATTATCTTATGACCTATACAAGTATGATTTCAGTTAATTTTCATAACACTCTTCCAATCTCACAACATAGAAAGTTAATGAATTTGTCCAAAGCCCCACAGCTAATAGATCTGAAATAGAACTTTCAGAATAAAATATATTAAAATAAATAAATGAAATCCAACTTGCAGGAAACCTGATTTTAGAGACAGGTTCTGAATTTGTATATTATTTTTCTCCTTTCCTCACGCCCTTCCTTACTTTTCTTTCCTTCCTTTCTTTTCCTTCTTTCCTTCTTAAATTTTGCCAGAGGGCACATATCCTTGCTGGAGAGAGACAGAGGCGATGTGAGTATGCACCCTTATGGCACATGGTCATGCCACAAACTCTTCTCCTCCATTCCTCTTTCCTTTTGAGATTTTTTTTTTTTTTTGAGAGGTTTTTGCTGTAGGGTGCGTGCGCTCACCACACAGACAGAGAGAGAGACAGAAAGCGAGAAATCACCCCCCAGGGGGGATGGCCACACCACAATCCCTTCTCCTCCATTCTCCTCTCAGGATCTTGGGCACGCACGCACACGCACCTGGCGTGAGTTTAAGTCACCGGGTCCGGGACTCAAACCGCAGTTGACTACATGGGAGTCCAGCAACATAGCCATTACGCTATCTGGTGGTCCCACTTTTGAGATTTTGTGCAAGTTCATGCCTCCGCATATTTTTTGAGCTGCAGTAGGGGTACATGGTAGGCCATGTGGGATCCACCCACCTTAACAACCATGCCACCAGCTGATCCCTATGCTATTTTTCAATACCTTCCATTTTTTCTCCCTTTGTAAGTCAATTTTGGTATTTTGCATGTTTCTAGAAAATAATCTATTTTAGCTAAATTTTAAAATTTAATATCATGGGGGCCAGCAGGTGGCATGATAGTTAAGGCGCTGGACTCCTGCATGGTCAACTACGTTCAAGTTCCAGACTTGGTAGTTGGAAAAATCACTCCAGGCAAGTATGCATGTGTGTCCAAAATCCCAGTAGGAGAATGGGGAAGGGACTGCCATCTCCTCTGGGGAGTGATTTCTCTCTTTGTCTCACTGTCTCTCTGGCAAGTGCATATACCCTATGGCAACAACTTTAAAAATTTTTTTTAAAGAATTATTTATTTTTATTTATTCATTCATTTATTTTAATTCGGCCAGAGAGAAACACAGAGCGAGAGGGAAAGTGAGAAAGTAAGCCACCAGGTCCAGGACTCAAACCGTGTTTGGCCATGTGAGAGTGTTCAGCACCATAACCACCATGTCACCTGCTGGTCCCCCTAAAAAATTTTTAACAGCATGATTTGAACTTCAAATTTTGATGTAAAGTCCCAGAGTTTGAATCAGAGATTAACAATTTTAACACTATTTTCTCTCTTCCCATATCAGGAAGCTTATAAATTCATCTGATGAGAAGAGTACATCTGGATCTTACATTGCATTTCTATGACAGAAACAATCATATCATCTCATTTAAGACTTATTACTGACATGTAGTGACATGTTTCTGGAAGCTTGATGTTTGAAAAGTAAACATCACTAAAATTAATAGCAAGATATTTAATTGTCTAGGTAGCCATAATTCAGAGAGCAATTTTTCTTTAAGACAGTCTGGAGTTTTACTAACAAAAGGAATGCATGCTAGGACCAGCAGTTAGCATAATGGCTATGTTGCTGGACTCCCACATGGTCGACCGTGGTTCGAGTCCCGGACCCGGTGGCTTAAAACTCATGCCAGGTGCCGGTGGCTTAAAACTCACGCCAGGTGCGTGTGCGTGTGCGTGCATGCCCAAGATCCCAAGAGGAGAATGGAGAAGGGATTGCGGCATGGCCATCCCCCTTGGGGGTTGATTTCTCACTTTCTGTCTCTCTGTCTCTCTGTCTGTCTGGTGAGTGCATGCGCCCTATAGCAAAAACCTCTCAAAAAAGAAAAAAAAAAGGAATGCATGCTTGGAATAAAGGGTTGTTAAAAACAAAACAAAACAAAAAACAACTTGGGGCCAACAGCTGGCATAATGTCTATGTCGCTGGACTCCCATGTGGTCAATGGTGGTTTGAGTCCCGGACCCAGTGGCTTAAACGCACACCGGGTACGTGTGCACCCAAGATTCCAAGAGGAGAATGGAGGAGAAGGGATTGTGGCATGGCCATTCCCCACAGAATGATTCCTTGCTTTCTGTCTCTTGGTCTTTCTGGCGAGCGCACGCACCCTATAGGAAAAATCCCTCACACACACGAAAAAAACAAAAACAAAAACAAAACAAAACCAAAAAAAACCCCAAAACTTAAGCCTTTCTTTCCATAATTTGACATATGGTTAATGTTCTACCTTTGTTCCTCCTGGAAACTTGACCTAAGTGGTAAATGAACCAGGTTACTATGCAATATTGTATAGATTTACAAAACAAAAACAAAAACCCCTGATTACCCCTGGGTTGGGGCAAACTACAAATAAACTAGAAATACTGACTAATGATGACACCACATCTTTGGCTATGAAGGTATAGTTAGGTCTGACTAACAGCATTCAAATTTTTGTAATTTAAGTAAAGAGTAAAAGGAGCATTATTTGGGTCATCTTTATCACATAGATCAATGAGTTAGAAATACCAACTAACTCTGGGACCAGCAGTTGGTGTAATGGCTATATTGCTAGACTCTCACGGAGTCGGCCACGGATCGAGTCATGGACCCAGTGGCTTAAACTCAAGCTGGAGGCATGTGCATGCGTGCCCAAGATCCCGAGAGAAGAATGGAGAAGGGATAGTGGTGTGGCCATCTGCCCTGGGAAGGGTGATTTCTCGCTTTCTGTCTCTTTGTCTCTTGTCTTTCTGGCAAGCGCACCCACCCTATTGCTAATAAATTAACAATGAGGATTAGTAGTTATTTTAGCAACTTAAAAATAAAACCTTTACTCCTGTTTCATATTTTTCATGGTACTTGTCATTATTGGGCACATAGTATCTATTTATTTATTTGCTTGTCTGTTTTCTCTTTTAGAAGCTCCATCAGGCAATTGCTTTTTTTTTTTTTTTTTCTTACTATTCCATTCTCAGTACTTAACATAGCAACTAGCACATGGTAGGGGTTCCTAAGTATTTGCTGAATGGAGTTCCTACTCCTTGGGTATTATGCGGTTGACTAAAATTTTAGTACCCACTATGTGTGAAGCCTTTTGTCAGTAAGGTATGGTAATAAAGTGGTTATACTCTACAATTTTTATGGAGTGACAGTCATAGATAAAACTTCAGACCATTTTCTGCTGACTGGAGATATGTTCTTTGTTAAAAAGTTGTATAATTTCATCACTAAGATCCAATATGATTTGGTTCATTTAGTAACAATGTTTCTTCAAAATGCTGTATTCACAAAACCACTTCAATCACTTTTTTTAAAAAAAAGTTTATTTCTTTCTTCCATGAGAGAGACAGACAGGTACCCCAAACAGCGTCTTCATGATCCACCTCAATCTCAGTCAGTCTGGATCAAGAGCATGCATGTGCCTCGCATGCTCAGAGAGGTCTTGGGATACAAACCCAGGACCTTTTCCACGTGAGTCCAGTTGTATTACAGTTGTACCACCACCTGGTCCTGTAATCACTTTTAAAAACCATCCTCAGTAGAGATGTATAAGGGGCCTGCATTATGGTGGTCAGCCAACAGTAGCAGACTGAATGTTTCCCAACTAGTCTTAACTTCCAAATTTCTCTCAGGAGTCTCCTTTAGTACTTTTTGCACAAGTCTTCTCTCTAATTAAAAGGACAATTAATTTAGTCTCCCACTAAAAAAAACAACGGAATATTTCTTCTCTATATATGATATGTTCACATAAATAGTTAAACCTTCTGAAGAATCACACACCAGTTTCCCTGATCATAGTAGCTTTGCAGAATGCTGACATTACCCAAAGTCTGGCAGGCAGCTTCTAATTCTCCCTCGCAGAATACATGGTAGTAACGATGAAACACAGGACTTGGGTCATGGGATCCAACTGGACCAATTGGCTCAACAGGTTTGTCTTTACATGGGTTTCCCTTGAGGTGCCAAGGAACCAGTACATCTTGAGAATGAAAAGAAGTCCTGTTGGTATGAATAGGCAACTCAGAATTAGTAACTTTCTTTGAATTACATCTTCCCTCCTGAAAGTCATTAACAGGAGACACAGAAGAAGATGCCAAGTCTTGATTGCCCACGTCTGTCATCTGCAGCCCTCGTAGTGAGGTATCACTATTAATCTCTTCTTTCTCTTCTTGGCCAATTCTGTTTCCTCTAAGATACTTGGACTTCTGCTTATTATATTCTTGTTCCATTGCCCAGACATAAATAAGCGCCTTTCCTCCAGACCGTAGGAGTCGAACAAGTTCTTGGAGAGCTACCACCCTACGCTCCTGAAAAAAAGCAAAAAACACATTGCCATTTATCAACCAGGAGGAGATACAGAGAGGAAATGGGAAAATATAATAAACTGTAGGACTATTGTCAATGAAAATTAATAGTTAAAATCTAACAAAACATCTTTTTAAAAAAGAATTATTTCCATTTGCTATTATTATTATGATTATTTTTTTAAATTTGATCACAGAGAGACAGAGAGAGAGAGAAAGGGAGAAACCAAGTGACCATGTCCAGGACTCAAACAGCAGTGAGCCATGTGGGAATCCAGCACCTTTAACCACGCCATCTGCCAGCCCCATGAAACATCTTATATTTTTTTTTAAAAAAGAAGGGGCATTTTGTTGTGTGATTAAGAAAAAAAACATGGTGAGAAAGTGAAGAAAGAAATTTTTCCCCATTCATCTTTCCTGTGACTTTTTCCTTAACTGACTAGCTAGAAAACATAGGGATCATAGGGCTAAGAGCAGAAGTATGAAGCAATTCTAGATTAATCGTTACATTTATATAGTGCTTATTATACCAAGGAATTGTGTAAAGTATATTACAGAGACTTCTACTTTTACCACTGAAAAAGTAGCTTTTATTTCCCCACTAAAAACAACCAGAAAGCTGGATGAAATGCATAAACAGGATGAAATACATAAATACTATGGAGAACAACGCTGCAGAGAACAATAATTGAAGAACTATAATCCCTGAGAAGAGAATTAAACCAGGGTGAGTTTTACGTGTTCATCCACGTTTTCCCTGAGTTTTTCTGTTAATTTGCAATATGAGAGAGCAAAGTATGAGCAGAAAGCAGAATTCTCATTGGCCCCTGATTTATTTTGAACTCAGTTAAAGTTATATGGTCTACTGAAACTGTGGGTAACCTACAGTAGGAGTTATAATGTTACTGCTAAGATCAGAGTAAGCACCCAAGAAAAATAAGTATGTTCTTAAATTTCTGTAGGAAAAACATGAAATTCTAAATTCACTTATTTTTAAAATTAAGATTTAATTGGTTAATTGGTTAATTTCTTAATTGATTAATTAAGAAAGTCAAAACACTGTACTCAGTTCAAATAAAACAGAGCTTTCAAAAAAGTGTAAGAGGGGCCAGCAAGTGGTGTGGTGATTAAGATGGTGGACTCCCACACAACCGGCTGTGGTTCAAATCCTGGACCTGGCAGTTTGCTTTCTCTCCTTCTCTTTCTCTTTCCTTCTCTCTCTCTCTCTCAAGCATGCATGCTCTGTAGCAAATTAGAAAAAAAAAAAGTAAAAGACAAAATTAAAGGCATAATTCTAAAAAGAAAAAAAAAACAGTAAGAAAGGGGGAAACACAGAATGAGATGAAAGTAAAACTCACATGTCAGGGATTAGAGTAAGGGTTGACAAAGAAAGAGAGAGAGAAATATAAAAATAGAGAAGAGGTCCAGGGTCTGAGAAGAGATAAGACAGAGCTGCTGATCTCAAAGTCTCTTCCACCTAACATCTGTGACTCCGTGGGTTTGAGAAAAGGCATTTGGAAGGGAAAGGCACCCAGAAAAAAAAGGGTAGAAAGAAAAGATAAAAAACACTCAGAAATGAAGTCCCATCAGGGCTCTGTTTAAGTAAAAATGACTCCAAGGTAGCACATTTTCATTCTAAGTGCTCTCCTAAAGAAGGGAGAATTGTGTAATAAGAGGATAGAAATAAGTGACTAGCTAAAACAGGGTCCAAAATTAGCAAAATCCATGAACTTTTCCTGCCACTTTCATTGCAGGTTCTCGGAGAAAGAAAGATAGTGCTTACTGCTGTTGCAAAATGGTGAATAACCGCAACGGAGATGCAGGCATCACAGGACCCACTGCGGACTGGGACAGCTAATGCATCACAGACCAAGGCGTGGAACTGCCTCTCTCTACAAATGTCCACGAGGTTTTGGCTGCGATCACAGCCAACCTACAATAGAGGAAGGAAAATTTCATTTTGTTTAAATGTCCCAAGAAATTAAAAGCTTTAAGCCATACCTTACTCATTAGATTTTATACACATTGTGAAATGATCTGAGGCCATATTATCAGTCCTTACGATCAGTACAAAGTCAAAATATATTATCTTGGGGGCTGGCAGGTGGTGTGGTGGGTAGGGGTGCTGGACTCCCACATGGGTGACTGTGGTTTGAGTCCCAGACATGGTGACTTGCTCCCTAGCTCTCTTTTTCTCTGCCCTCTCACTAACTTTCTCTCTCTTGCTCTGTCTCTCTCTGGTCAAATTAAAATACGTAAGTAAATAAATAAAGTTAAATAAAATAATTCTTAAAATATATATATGTGTGTGTATGTATGTATATATATATATAAATTTTCAGGGCATCATTTATTACCTTAAAAGGTATAAAACAGGGACCAGCAGATGGCATAATGTTTACTTCACTGGACTCCCATGTAGTCGACTACGGTTCAAGACCTGGACCCAATGTGTGCCCAAGATCCTGAAAGGAGAATAGAGGAGAAGAGATTGCATCCCCTAGGGGGATGATTTCCTGCTTTCTGTCTCTCTTTCTTTCTCTGTCTCTCCAGTGAGCACACATGTCCTATAGCAAAAATCTCTCAAAAAAATAAATAAATAAATAAAAGCATGTCTAGATTTGAATCCTAACTTCAATGAAAACAAGCTGAACAATCGCCCAAAACAAGGTGGTGTGGTAGTTAAGGGGCTGGACTCCCATACGGCCAACTATAGTTCGAGTCCTGGACCTAGTGGCTTGCTGTCTCCCTCTCTGGTCAAATTTTAAAATAATAATAATACATAAAATTAAGTAAATAATTCTTTAAAAAAGAAAGAAAAATCTGTGTCCTAAAGGTAACCTGAGTTAAGGCACACAAATTTTGAGGTTGTTGAATTCTTTCAAGGATGCAGATCACAAAACCATGTATGAAGGGACTTCAAAATGTTTATGAAAAAAAAAATATGAGTTTATTTTGGTGCAAACATTTTTTAAATCCATGCATAGCTGTTTTTGTTTTTGTTTTTTTTTTTTTGGAGAGGTTTTGTCCTGTAGGGCTTGTGCACTCACTAGAAAGACAGAGAGACAGAAAGCGAGAAATCACCCCCCCAGGGGGGGTGGCCATGCCTCAATCCTTTCTCCATTTTCCTTTTGGAATCTTGGGCACGCACACACACGTACCTGGCGTGAGTTTAAGCCAACAGATTCGGGACTCGGACGGTGGTCGACTACATGGGAGTCCAGTGATGTAGCCATTATGCCAACTGCTGATCCCTGTTTGTTTGTTCTTTAAGATAAATTTTTGCAATAGGGTTCATGTGCTCGCTGGAGAGACAGAGAAACTAAAGCAAGAAATCACCCCCTACAAGGTGGATGGCCAGGCCACAATCCCCTCTCCTCCACTCCCCACTCAGGATCCTGGGCATGCACGCACACACACCCGGCACGAGTTTTAAGCCGTCAGGTCTGGGACTTGAACTGCGGTCAACTATGTGCGAGTCCAGTGATGCAACCATTATGCCATCAGTTGTCCCACCATGCATAGTTTTTTTATCCATGAACCTTCTGAATACCCTTCATATATTACTGGAGCAATATATCTTTTAAAAAAATTATTTTATTTATTATTATCTTTCAGTTTGACCAGAGAGAAACAAAGAGAGAGAAAGTGAGAAAGCAAGCCAGGTATGGGACTCAAACCATGGTCAGCCATGTGGGAGTCCAGCACCTTCATCATCATGCCATCTGCCAGCCCTGGAGCAATATATCTTAAAGATAAAAAACAATCACAAATAAATATAAAACCCTATTTAGTTGTCTATTTAGCTGAACTTTTTTTTTTTTTTTTGCTATAGGGTGCGTGCACTCGCCAGAAAGACAGAGAGAGACAGAAAGACAGAAAGCGAGTAATCACCCACCAGGGGGATGGCCACACAATCCCTTCTCCTCCAGTCTCGGGATCTTGGGCACATATGCACATGTGCCCGGTGTGAGTGTAAGCCACCGGGTCCGGGACTCAAACCGTGGTTGACTACATGGGAGTTCAGCGACATAGCTATTATGCTAAGTGCTGGTCCCTAGTGGAACTTTTTGAAGATCCCCTTGTTTATTCTGGTTTTCTTGTAAGAAACTAGGTCAGAAATTGAAGGCCAATTCACAGATTTGCTCCTCACCATTTCACAAACCATTAATGAGCCTCTACTATGTGCCAATAAGTGGAGAACAAGATTCCTGCCACCTCTGATTTTCCAGCCTGGTGTTCTCTTTTACCACAACTAGACTTTCAGGTCACTCTTGGCAGAGTGCCATAGAGTATGTACCCTGAAGTAGACGAGGTTCTAATACTTGTCTTGATGCTATGTGACCTTGGGCACATCATAATCTGATTAAGCCTGAGTTTTTCCATTTGTAAAACGGAGATAATGATACCAACTTCAAAGATGGTGCATGTGAGAAAACAGCGCAGCACTTAGTACATGCCAGGCCCTTGCCACTGCTAGTTTCCTTCCTGTACTTGTATCCTTTCCTGGGGTGGTTAATACAGTCTCTGAAGCAATGGTGTACAGAATGGACCTATATAAACATATCAACCATTTTTATAAATATACTCCCACATTATTGAGTATTATATTTGTAGTTCTAACTATTTACAGCAACAAAGTCCATACGATGCATCAAGTAATTACCCAGGAAACAAATCTGAACAGAATGTGCCCTGAACATATTAGTTTCCTAAATAAATAAGAACATATGCACAGAACAGCAGTCAGTTCCCTAGTCTTGAGAAAAGCAGCTCCAGTCCTCACTGGGCAACTTTAGTATGAGGATTTACAATGTACTACAGCAGGGAAAATATTTTATTTCTTAGCACAGCAGGAAAAAAAAGTGGTTTTCTATGTAGAAAAAGAAATCAGAACAACTGAAAAATAATCACTTTGGAGTCAGACAAAAGTGAGTTCAAACTCAGGGTCTATCACTATGACTCTGGTCAAGGTTTAAATCTATTTGAGCCTTAGTTTCCACAACAATTAAGACATCGATAAATAGTAAACTTTTTTTTTCTACTATGAATAAAACAACACTGGATTTGAAGTCAGAGGCATAGGTTCAAGTTTCAGTTCTATTCCCCTGACTGTATGGCAGCAGAGAAGTCACATAACCTCTGTGAGCTCCAGTTTCTGAATTTATAAGAGACAGATAAAAATACCAGCTTTATCTTACTCATACTTAAGAGGATATAACCAAAGGAAATAGTTTCTATAAAAATAGTTTCTAAAAAAAAAAAAGTATTGGGGAACCAGCAGTTAGCGTAATGCCTACGTCACTGGACTCCCATGTAGTAGACTGCAGTTCGCGTCCCGGACCTGGTGGCTTAAAACTCACGCCAGGCACATATGCGTGCATGCCCAAGATCCCGAGAAGAGAATGGAGGAGAAGGGATTGCGGCGTGACCATCCCCCCTGGGGGGTGATTTCTCTCTTTTTGTCTCTATGTCTCTCTCTGTATGTCTGGCGAGCGCACGTACCCTATAGTGAAAAAACCTCTCAAAAAAAAAAAAAAAGTATCTTATGATTGCAATATAGTTTTACTGGGGCCAAAAGATGGCATAGCGGTTATGTTGCTGGACTCCCATATAGCCAACCGTGGTTCAAGTCCCAGATCCAGTGGCTTGGAACTGGTTTTGGGCCATGGGTGTGTGCATACCCAAGATCCCAGGAGAAGAAAGGAGGAGAAGGGAGTGCAGCATGCCCATCCCGCCAGGCGGTGAGTTCTCGCTTTCCCTCTCACTGTTTCTGTCTGTCTCTCTGGCTTTTCCCTCTCACTGTTTCTGTCTCTGTCTCTCTGGCAAGCACACACATCTGAAGGCAAAACCTCTAAAAAAAAATAGTTTTATCGATTAAAAAAAGCCTATTAGAAAGCGAAACCCAAAGGAAGGGAAAAAATGCAAATGATGATATGCCCATAAATTCCTAGAAAAACAAGAGAAAATGGGAGTGTTCATTAATTTTCACCTGTTACAACTTTTAAGCAATGACATTTAAAAAAGCATCATATCATGAGGAAAAAAGATGAGGACAACCACCACAAATAAAGGGGAAAGAGAGCCAGAAGCAGCACTTACTTACCATGTATAAGTCCTTATTGACGCCAAGATACTTTCCATTCCCACATCCAATATCAGCCACTATAGAGCCACTCGGTAAAGCCTTCAAGAATTTCACAATGTGTGGCCAGGGGGTATGTCTCGTGCTGCTGAAGTGCCCAGCGATCTCTTCATAAACTCGATGGACGTACTCTTGCTCCAGCTGTAAGGCTTCTTTATCAGTCTCTGGAAATGAGGGACGAGTTTCTTTCCTCTGACTGTCGCAGACGGAAGGGTAACCTAAATGGGGGGGGCAATATAAACCTTTCATTTTTCCCCTGAAATGATGAATAAATTATGACATTTTCATAAAAGAAAGAAACGTCATTCCACTCTCCACTTTTATGTGATCAAATCTTTAGCTTCTGCTAATGAGTGAGATCATTTGGTGCTTGTTTTTCAGTGCCTGGCTTACTAGCATAATGTCCTCTAGGCTCATCCGCTCATCAGCTGATGGAGACTCAGGGTGATTCTGTACCTTGACTACTGTGAATAGTGCTGCCACAAACGTGGAGATGCAGGTATCTTTTGAACATACTGATTTCCTTTCCTTATGATGTATTCTCAGTAGTGGGGTAGATGGAACAAAAGATAGTCCTAGGGTCAAGTAGGTGGTGAGCTGGTTAAGGCACTGGACTCCCACATAGTCGATTGCAGTTCAAGTCCTGGACTCAGCAGCTTCAAACTCACGTAGGGTACATGTGTGTGTGTGTGCCCAAAATCACAAGAGGAAAGTGGAGGAGAAGGGATTGCAGTGTGGCATCCCTGGAGGGTAATTTCTTACTTTCTGTCTCTCTTTCTCTGTCTCTCTGGCGAGCACAGGAGCTCTACAGCAAAAATCTCTCTTAAAAAAAAAAAAAAAAAGAAACCAAAAAAACCCCAGGGGGGATGGCCACCCTGCAATCCCTTCTCCTCCATTCTCCTCTCGGGATCTTGGGCATGCACGCACACGTGCCCGGCGTGAGTTTTAAGCCACTGGGTCTGGAACACGAACCGCGGTCGACTACATGGGAGTCCAGCGACATAGCCATTACGCTAACTGCTGGTTCCCCTCATTGTGAATTTTTTGTTGTTTATTCACTTATTTAAAGAACCATCATACTGCTTTCAACAATGGCTGTACTAATTTACATTCCCACAAATAATGCACAAGAATTTTCGTTTCTCCACATCTTTGTTAGCATTTGTTGCTTAACCAGATGCCAGGGAAGAGAGGGGAGAGGGAACAACAGGAAGAACTTGGCAACAGATACAATAGGTATCACTAACAGGTGAGAGGAGTGAGTTCTGGAGCACTGTGACACAACACAGCAACTACAGGTGGAGACAATCCAATGCAAGTCAAAATAGCTAGAAGAGATGATTTTGTTCATACACAAAGTAATGATAATTGTTTGAGATGGTAGATATGTTTATTGCCCTGTTTTGATCGTAACACAGTGTACTCATAATGAAAAAAACACTGTACCTCATACATATGTATGATTACTATATTTCAACTAAAATCATAATAAAAAAAAATAGTACTTAGGGAAACTTATGGATTTGAAAACATTTATAAAGGCTGAGAATTTGAAAAAAAGAGGTATGGTCTAGAACTTTTAAAAAACCAAGAAAATGAAAAAAATGTAAAAAAAAGTCAAGAAAATATAAAAAGAAAAAGCAATTCAGTGCAATTTCAGTACCTATGAGTAAACAGGTTCTGAATTATCAGTTAAAAGAAAAAACAGTCCTAAGATGTCTAATTAACACATAAAGAGTCAAATGTAAAATAAGGGGAAGAAATCCATGTACAGGGACCAGTAGTTGGCTTAATGGGGATGTCGCTGGACCCCTATGTAGTTGACCACAGTTCGAGTCCCAGACCTGGTGGCTTAAACTCATGCCAGGCACGTGCACATTCCTGTTCAAAATCCCAAGAGGAGAATGGAGGAGAAGGAATTGTGGCATGGCCATCCCCCATGAGGGGTGATTTCTCCCTTTCTGTCTGTCTGGCGAGCACACACACCCTATAGCAAAAACCTCTCTCTCTCAAAAAAAAAAAAAAAAAAGTAATTCTACATCTATCTTATAAGGAAGATGCCAATTTTATCTTAGGATTAAGAGTGTTCTTATTCAGGAAAGCATTTTGTTAGGTCTGGTCTAACCGCAAACTTAGCTGAATTAACAGAATGCAGGGTTTACCTTTAGCAAGTAAAAACAAACAAACAAACAAATTAATCAGACATTCTAGGGACCCCAGGACTCTCAGAAGAAGACCTGGAAGCAAAGGATAATTTGGTAATAATCACAAACATTTACTGATCACTATTTGAAGCAATTTATACATATTATCTCAGTTCTCATGGTAATACTATAAAATAGGTAGTATCACATCTATTTACAGGTGAGGAAACTAAGTCACAGAGAAATTAAACAACATTCCTAAAGTGACAGAGATAATAAATCATACAACCAAAATTTGAACCCAGGCAGAATAGGCTGCAGAGCCCACATTCTCGGGGTACTGCCTCCCATCGAAAGAATGTGTAAGGGGCTGGCCCCATAGCTTAGTGGTTAGTAGAACTAGATGCCACATGGCCGGTCACAGTTCGAGTCTGGACCTGGTGGCTTGCTTTCTCACTTCTCTCTCTCTCTCTCTCTCTGTGTCTCTTTTGGGCCAAATTAAAGATAAATGAACAAATAAATTAAATTAAATATTTTTTTTTAAAAAAGAAAGAAAATTTTAACATCTAAGTTGTTTAGAAGGAGTAGCAATTCTTGTCACTTAAAAGCTCATAAATTTTGACCAAAATATACAAAGGATAACTTTGAATTAAAAACAACAACAAAATTACAAATCATCAGAGAAATCACAATGAAAACCAGAATATATCATTACATGCCTGTTAGAATGGCTATTATCTAGGGACCGACAGGTGGCGTGGTGGTTTAGGGTGCTGCACTCCCACATGGCTGACCGTGGTTCAAATCCTGGACCTGGTGGCTTGCTTTGTCACTTTCCCACTCTCACTCTGTCCCTCTCAAACTAAAATAAATAAATAAAATAATTATTTTTTAAAAATGGCTCAAGGAAAAAAAATAAATAAATAAAATAATTATTTTTTAAATTTGGCTCAAGAAAATGTAGTATAGTTGTACAAATACTATTCAGACTTAAAAAGGAAAGAAATCCTGTCATTTGGGACAACACTTGGAAGACATTATGTTAGGAGCAATAAGCCATGCACAGAAAGACAAGTACTATATATATATTAGGTCATCAGAAAAGGCATAACATATTTTTGCACAGAAAAACAGAAAAATATGTCATGACTTTTCCGACACCCCAATATCATGTCACTTGAATGTAGAATCTAGACAAGTTGAACTCAGAGAAGCAGAGAGTAAAACGGTGATTACCAGGGGATGGAGAAGGAATGGGATATTGCTCAAAGGAAACAAAATTTCACGTAGGAAGAATAAGTCCAAGAGATCTATTTTACAACAGGGTGACTATACGTAATAACATATTATAGTCTTCAAAATCACTAAGGGGATAATAGATTTTAATGTTCTCACTACAAAAAAGTGAGATAATGCACATGTTAATTAGGCCCATTTAGCCATTCCACGACGTATATATTTCAAAATATCATGTTGCACACCGTAAGAACATGCAATTTCTTTGGCCCAGCTGCAATGGCCCAAGCAGGAGGGCACCACCATTAGGTAGCTGAGGCCACATGGGAGGGCAGGGTTCAGTTCCTGGCCCAACCACAAAAGGCCAGGCCTGGCATGGTGGAATGCACCGATGGTCCCCTGACTGGGAGGCAGGGGCAGGAGGATAGTGATCTGGCAAGATTCTGGTAAAAATACTCTCTCACTACACACACACTTGTGTATATGTATACATACGCAACTTTCATGTGTCAATTTCTTTTTAGATTTATTTAATTAAACTATTATTATTTTTTAATTTGCTATAGGGCACATGTGCTCAACAAGAGAGAGAAAGAAGGAAAGTAAGAAAGCAAGCCATCAAGTCCAGGGCTCGAACCACGTTCAACCATGTGGGAATCCAGCACTTTAACCACACTATACCACCTGCTGGCCCTCATGTGTCAATTTTTTTATGTAAACCAAATACCCAATCAGAGCTTCTTGGAGCATGACCACCTCGCAAGATTCTGGCAAAAGTACTTCTCTCTCATTCCCTCTCTCATTAAATACACACATGCATACAATTTTTATGTCAATTTGTAAAAATTCCATAAACGGAATGCCTAATCAGAGCTTCTTAATGCATCCCTGACATTCAACAAATGCCCATAATAAAAAAGCTTTGCTTAAGGCGGCGGAGGCGGCAGAAGCAGCC